AAGAGAGAACACATATATTATCATATCCTAATATGTTTCCTTCATTGAATGAACCAGTTCAAGAGATAGTTGCCTCATTATCTTGTCCTTCATCTTCTATCGATACTGGCCATCGCATGGTTACCCGGCTTAAGGATGGAATTGTGAAGCCTAATCCCAAATATTTGTTGACTATTCGTGATGTCCCAACTCCACATAAGACAACAAAATCTGCTCTCAAACACCTTGGATGGTTTGCTGCTATGAAAGAAGAACTAGTGGCATTGCATACCAATAACACATGGGTATTAGTTCCACGTGAACCCCACATAAATGTTGTTGGATGTAAGTAGGTCTTTAGAGCCAAATTACATGGTGATGGTTCTTTAGAACGTTTAAAGGCACGCATAATAGCTAAAGGATTTGCCCATATTCTAGGCTTAGATTTTTTGGAAACATTTTCTCCTATTGTAAAACCGACCACCATCCGTATAGGTTTGATAATTGTATTTGCTCATCATTGGGATATCCGGCAATTAGATATAAAAAATGCCTTTTTACATGGTCATCTGTCATCTCAAGCGTGCTTTATATGGATTAAAACAAGCCCCAAGAACTTGGTTTGATCGTTTACAAACTTCCTTATTGATATGGGATTTTTCCAGTAGTGTTGTTGATCCTTCTCTTTTCATTCATCAAGGTTCTCATGGTACGACTTTAATACTTCTGTATATGGATGATATTATTCTGACCGAAAATAATCCCACTACCTTACAATCACTTATACGTCGTTTATGTTAAGAATTTGCTATGAAAGATTTGGGTCATTTCCATTATTTCTTGGGAGTTGCGGTTGAACGTTTCAATGGAGGTTTGTTTCTTAACCAATACAAGTATGCGTATGATTTGTTAGAACGAGCAAAAATAAAAAACTGCAACCCATGTCTGCTCCAATGGGTACTAAAATCAACGCAACAATAAATGATGAAGCTTATGGTGATCCTTTCTTCTATCGCAACATTGTTGGTGGACTCCAATATTTGACGTTCACCCGTCCAGATGTTGCCTACAGTGTCAACTATGTCTCCCAATTTATGCAAAAGCCAACTTTCTCTCATTTTCAATTGGTGAAACGTATTCTACGATATGATCATGGAACTATCTCCTATGGTATCCGACTCTTAACTAGGAACTCAATGGTATTTTATGGTTTTTCGGATGCCGACAGGGCGAGTTGTCCTCTTACTCGTCGTTCTGTAACCGGGTATTGTACGTTTCTTGGTGGGAAATGTATCTCTTGGTGTGCCAAGAAGCAACCAACAGTGTCGCGATCAAGCACTGAGGCTGAATACAGAGCACTTGCCTTTGCTACTGCTAAACTTACGTGGATTTCATTCATTCTTCGCGATATTGGGTTATATCTCTCCACTCCACCAAAGTTATTTTGTGACAATATTTTCTGCCCTATAAATGACTGTCAATCCGGTTTTTCATACTCGAACAAAACATGTTGAACTTGATTATCACTTTGTAAGGGAAAAGGTTGCACTTGGCTGCTTAACAACACGGTTCATTCCTTAACACCTTCAAGTTGCTGATATATTTACTAAACCTTACCGCGCCAACTCTTTCTTGATTTAAGACCTAAACTTGGTCTTTGGCATTCTCCAGCGTCTAGTTGAGGGGGTGTGTGAAAATCCAAAGCTACTTTGTGATAACTAAATGAAGACTGATGTGCAAAAAAGGAGTTGATAGTGTTAGAGTTAATGAATGATAAAGTTTATCTCAATGAGAAAACTTATCTGTTGCAATCTGTTGTAACTACTATGTTTTACTTAATTGTAGGAGTTGGTTTCTCTTCCAATTATTATAAAAAGACTATTATCTCAACCAACGTAAAGTAAGGTTGGAGAATTTCAGATCACCTTCTTATTATTTTATCTCACCAAAATTACGTTTCTATTATGGTATCAGAGCAACCAAGGAAAATACACGGTAAGGATCTTGGATCAAATTTTGTTTTAGTACAATCCCGCAAATATGGAAAAAAACAATAACTATAATCCGGTTTCTATTCTCAAATAACTATAATCCGGTTTCTATTTAAATAACTTTTCAAGCGGTGACTTCATGCTCAACACTCGGGTAGGAATCCTATTTATCAACCAAGTTGTTGTTTTAAAGTTGACCTGACACCACGTGAATCAATAATTCAGATCGCATTTGATGATTCTGAAGATATGCCAACGTTGTTGACACCAACATTAAGAAAATGGACCAACGAAATATTGTGGTTCTTCAAATGGAGGTGAATTTCTTCTTGACACAGTCTCGTGGGTTAGGCGAGTTCCTGTAAACCAATCATTAAATGTCATTAAATCAACATTATCTTTTACCGAAGAGAATAGTGCACCTGGATCACAAAAAGGAAACGTTGCTTCGTCATCATTTGACACATCTTCTCCACCAAGTGAACCAACTCAAGAGAGAACACATATATTATCATTTCCTGATATGTTTCCTTCCTTGAATGAACCAGTTCAAGAGATAGTTGCTTCATTATCTTGTCCTTCATCTTCTACCGATACTGGCCATCTCATGGTTACTCGGCTTAAGGATGGAATTGTGAAGCCTAATCCCAAATATTTGTTGACTATTCGTGATGTCCCAACTCCACCTAAGACAACAAAATCTGCTCTCAAACACCCTGGATGGTTTGTTGCTATGAAAGAAGAACTCATGGCATTGCATACCAATAACACACGAGTATTAGTTCCACGTGAACCCCACATGACTGTTGTTGGATGTAAGTGGGTCTTTAGAGCCAAATTACACGCTGATGGTTCTTTAGAACGTTTAAAGGCACACCTAGTAGCTAAAGGATTTGCCCATATTCTGGGCTTAGATTTTTTGGAAACATTTTCTCCCGTTGTAAAGCCAACCACCATCCGTATAGTTTTGACAATTGCACTTGCTCATCATTGGGATATCCGGCAATTAGATGTAAAAAATGCCTTTTTACATGGTCATCTTCATGAAAACGGTATTTATGGAACAACTTCCTGGATTCAAAGATACAGAACAACCTGATCATGTGTGTTATCTCAAGCGTGCTTTATATGGATTAAAATAAGCCCCTAGAGCTTGGTTTGATTGTTTTACAAACTTCCTTATTGATATGGGATTTTTCTGCATTGTTGTTGATCCTTCTCTTTTCATTCATCAAGGTTCTCATGGTACGACTTTAATACTTCTGTATGTGGATGATATTATTTTGACTGGAAGTAATCCAACTACCTTACAATCACTTATACATTGTTTATGTCAAGAATTTGCTATGAAAGATATAGGTTATTTGCATTATTTATTGGGAGTTGCGGTTGAATGTTTCAATGAAGGTTTGTTTCTTAACCAATACAAGTATGCATATGATTTGTTAGAAGGAGCAAAAATGAAAAACTGCAAACCCATGTCTACTCCAATGGGTACTAAAATCAACGCAACAATACATGATGAAGCTTACGATGATCCTTTCTTCTATCGCAGCATTGTTAGTGGACTCCAATATTTGACGTTCACCCGTCCAGATATTGCTTATAGTGTCAACTATGTTTCCCAATTTATGAAAAAGACAATTTTCTCTCATTTTTAATTAGTGAAACGTATTCTACGATATGTTCATGGAACTATCTCCCATGGTATCTGACTCTTAACTAGGAACTCAATGGTATTTTATGGTTTTTCGGATGCCGATTGGGTGCGTTGTCCTCTTACTCGTCATTCTATAACTGGGTATTGTACATTTCTTGGTGGGAAATATATCTCTTGGTGTGCCAAGAAGCAACCAACAGTATTGCGATCAAGCACTGAGGCTGAATACAGGACACTTGCCTTCGCTATTGCTGAACTTACGTGGATTTCATTCATTCTTCGCGATATTGGGTTATATCTCTCCACTCCATTAAAGTTATTTTGTGACAATATTTCTGCCCTATATATGATTGTCAATCCGGTTTTTCATGCTCGAACAAAACATGTTGAACTTGATTATTACTTTGTAAGGGAAAAAGTTGCACTTGGCTGCTTAACAACACCGTTCATTCCTTCACACCTTCAAGTTGCTGATATATTTACCAAACCTTTACCGCGCCAACTCTTTCTTGATTTAAGACCCAAACTTAGTCTTTGGCATTCTCCAGTGCCCAGTTTGAGGGGGTGTGTGAAAAACCCAAAGCTACTTTGTGAAAACTCAATGAAGACTGATGCGCAAAAAGGGACTTAATAGTGTTAGAGTTAAAGAGTAATAAAGCTCATCTAAATGAGAAAGATTATCTGTTGCAATCTGTTCTAACTACTCTCTTTTACTTAATTGTAGGAAACCAAAATATCAAATTATAGGAGTTGGTTTCTCTTCCAATTATTATAAAAAGACTATTCTCTCAACCAAACCAAGTAAAGCAAGATTGGAAAACACCTTTTTACTATTTTATCTCACCAAAATTACGTTTCCTTCGGTTATGTGCAGTGAGCCCACATTCTCAAAATTAGAAGTTTACAGGCCCAAATGGAGCGCAAGAGCCCAAAATTTGAGCACAAAGTGCCTCCAACTAATAATTAACTTTGGGCTTGACAATTCTTTTGGATTTATTCCAACATGTCAACTAATGAAAACCCTATACGCTTGGGCCTAGATGTTAAATTCTTGCGTTGTTTATAGTTTTTTGTGGGAAATGGATTCGGTTGGGTCTACTCCGGTTTTGGCATGCTTTGTTGGCATTTCAAATGTTTTCAAGCATAGATAGATAAAACTTGCGAATTCTGGGATTCAAAGGTTAGGTGCTCTTTAATAAAATTAAAAATTAAGTAATAAAAATTTTAAAAGCTGAATTTGAAATACGGAGTATTGATTAAAAAATAAATATGTTTTGATTTTTTAAAATAAGAGATATCTTTATTACTTTAAATACTATATCATTTATTATTTTTAATAATATTCAAAATGCATTACTAAACACACTTAATTACTTAAACAAACCAATTATGCACTAAACTAACTCAATTATGCACTAAATTGAGTTATTATTGCCCATTTCCAAACCCTTAAAATTTTAGGGCTCTTTCAGACTATTTGAATGCCAAAACATGAATGACACTATTGTCTATCCACTGCATACCCAAAATTGTCTTTGTTGCTTCCACTTTGTTCTGCACATGGGACTAGAGTAGTAGACTCCATCAAGCACTTCATTTCCCTCCTTTCCACAATAAATTAAAAAATAAAAAAAATAAAAAAATGAAATTATGAACTCAAAATAGTATGATTTACATATTTTCTGTAAATCCAAAATTAAAATTTTGTACAAGTATTGCAGAACAAGCATAAACCAACCTAGAATTAAAAAAAAATAAAAAAACTGCAGAACCAAAAATGACACTCAAATTGGAATCAAAGCTCATACTTTGCAAATTGATCAATGAGATTGGAACAAATTTGATCAAAATTTCACAATTGAACAAAGAGTATATCTCGATTAACAATCAATGATCATACTCTTTCAACGTATCACAATTAACAATCAATGATAAATGAGACTGAAAAAAAAAAAAAAAAAAAAAAAATTTCAATTACGTACTTTAAATTCGATTCAGTTTCTTCTTCCTCAGCACCGATCGTTCAACCACGAAAGTATATCTCTCCGAACAACTTCAACATTCTCATCCGTCTCTCCGAATAACAAAGAATGCATCATACCATCATAGATCTTTATACTCTTGTCTTCACTCTTCGCTTCCTCATACAATTCTCTGCTCACATTCGGATCGGTAACAACATCGGCACTACCATGGAGGACGATGAAAGGAAGACCCACCTCGCTCAGTTGATGAGACACGAAATCCGTCACTCGCAAAAGCTCGAGTACAGTACCCAATCTAGGTTTTCCTATATACCTCATTGGATTCATCACCGCAATGATCTTCTTCTCCGGGACTTTCACAGATTTATCGAGTAGATCGGCGGTGGGGACGACCGGCCAAGTGGGTACGAATCTGGCCGCGAATGTGAGAATTTCAGGAATCGGCCATCTGGGTCTGACTTTTTCGGAGATTCTGCACATGGGTGCGATCAGAATCGCGCCGTTGAACAACTTAGGGTTTCGGAAATGGATGAGGAGGCAGATTGCGCCGCCCATTGACTCGCCGAATAGGAACACGGGTAGGTTTTGGAATTGGGGGTTTTGGGTAATGATGAAATTGAAGAAGGAGAGACAGTCGTCGACGACGAGGTCGACGTTTGGGACGAAGGCCTTGAGGCCTTGTGATCGGCCATGGCCTTGGAGGTCTAGGGCAAAGCAGGCGAACCCATTTTGGGCGAGGAAGATTGGGGTGGCTTGGAATGTCCAGCTGATGTCGTTGCCGTAGCCGTGGACCATGCAGATGATGCCACGTGGCGGGTCTGTCAGTGGCTGCCAAGACCTGGTGAAGAGGGATTGGCCTCTGGGTGAGGTGTAGAAGGACTTGATGGATTTGATGCCTTGGAGACTGTAGTATTCTTCTTCTGGGGTGTTTCCCCAGTAGTGAAGGTGGTTTTGGAGGGGTTGTTCCTCCATTTTTTCTAGGGGTTTTCTAGTTCTTTTTGGGGGATATGGACTATTGAGCTTTGTTATTGCTGTTGAATGAAGATGACCTTTTTTTGTTGGGTTGAGGGTCTTGAGTTGATTTGAACTCAGTTCTGAGTGGACTCAGTGAAGCTGATTTGGCTGTGCCTATGAACTGTTTGTTTGAATATCTCTCCACTTCAAGAATAAATTTGAGTATCTCTCTACTTCAAGAATAAATTTATCTCATGGTGGGCACCATATAGGCATATACCCTGCTTTGAAATGTAATCTTTTTGGGCTGTGCCTATGAGCTGTTTGTTAATTTGAACTCAGGACTGGGTTAGTCGACTCAGTGAAGCTGATTTGAGCTGCTTGTTTGAATTTTTCTACTTCAATAATAAATTTCATCTGATGGTAGGCGACCATATACCCTGCTTTGAAAGGTAAGTTTCATTGATTGTTGACTGCTTATTTTGTTGTTCAGCAATTGGATGTCACGGTTTGGAGTATTTTTATTTTTATTTTTTGTAAATAGATGGGAAGGTGAACAAATTGTTCAATCTTTTTTTGAGACTCATGAATTCCGTTGAGTGTTGATAAATTGAATTCATATTAATTTTGTTATGCAATATGCCAACATTGTTGTATCTCTGTCCACCACCAATTGCACGATTTCATTGTCACTAGACTTGGTAAAACACCATCACCGTCACCTTTACTCACCATCACCTTGACATTTATGTGTACCCACTGCAGCACTGCTGCTAATTACTATCATGCTTTTGAAATGACGCAGAAAATCACTTGCACTATCAACGGAATAAATTATTTTCAATGATATCCTTTATGCTTTTTCCTTTTATTAGCTTACATCTTTCAACTATATTCTCTTAATTGATAAGTTTTGATAAGAACATGCGTGCGGATCTCACTTTTTAAGATGTGTGATAGAATGTATTAAGATTTATTGGCGTGATGGCCTTCAAAGATTTAGCTAGATAATGCCAATCCCGTTTTCGTCAAACTTGAAGAATGGGACAAATTCCTTGCACCAAAAACAAGAATACGAATTGGTTTACCACTGAAAATAAAAGATCTAACTTTATGCATTCTAGAAGGAAACGAGACGCATAAAGAAAAAATGTTAATGTTAATTGTTTGTGGGGGTAGGATTTGAAACAAGGGGAAAAGATAAGGGTAGTTAAAACAAGAAAAGCATGGAAGTGGATGAAGTTAGCTTCCTATTACTGGAAGTCCCCTTGGAGGAAATTAGTGAGTTTTTCAGCACATGTATCAGACAACATTAGACATGACACTGATGCTAGGTAGGTAAATGAGCTTTACACTGACCTCAGGGTGCTTTACTTAGTGGGGGACAAACCTTTAGGGGTGGTATCATTTTTATTTGCTCCCTCCAAGAAGCACTTTGATTGGGAATTTGGATAGGTTTTCAGATAGAAGGTGGTCAACAAAGGTGAACAACACAACAACCAATATTTAATTATAGAACACACGGGTGCAGTGAAAAAGAGTAGATAAAGAGAGGGAAAAATGAAAGAGGATAAGGTACGAGGAATGGAGACTAAAGGTTGTAGCTTAGTGGTATCTTTTCTACCTCTCAAAGGGGATGGTGAGGGTTCGAATGCCCGTAGGGACAAATGGCTACGTGAGTTTCTTGCCAATTAAAAAAAAAAAAGTATGAAAAACGAAGAGTATAGTTCAATACTAATTTACTTACCGAAAAGAAGAAAGGAAGGAAGGTGGTATTTCATGATTTTACCAATACTTCATTACATATTAAGCACATATTCTTTTTTGAGGAAAATATTTTCTGTAACAACTACTTGATGTTAATAAAATTATTCATTTAAACTACTGGTACTTGTTTAAATAGGTGTATTCAGGTAAACTACGTGTTATTTTCGGGTAACTTTTAGTCTTTTTCTTTATATTTTGCATTAGGCCTTATCTTGTAGCACTGATCCCTGGCATAAAATGACTGAAGCTAAGCTTTTCAGTTGGCACCATCTACGAAAAAAACATAAAAGAGGACTAGCCATTTCCTTCCTTTTAATTTTAATTTTAATTTTTTATCCGGTAAGTACTCACACACACTTTGCCCTTTCCTTCTTTCAAGGAAAAAAATATCTTTACCCCTTCTTCCTTCCCAACCCCTTCCCCTCCTTACAAATTATTAAATCTCTATCCTTTACTCCCTCTTTCAGTCCCTTTTCTTCCTCCCATTCTTTCCTCCTACCAAACAGACTTTAAGATGAGTATGGCTCTAAGAGGCAATAACTACTAGTGTCTGCATACTATTTTACTAGAATGACCTGTATTTGATTTGTTTCATATACAGATATGGTCCTAATGCACTGGAAGCCCTTGAATCAATGAAGCCTTAGCATCCAATTTATTTATTTATTTATTTTTCTTGCCTTAGCATCCAATTTATGTAAAACTTGACTAGTTGTTACAAAGCGTTCCTCTTTGTTTCATACACACTGAATTTGAGTCTTTCATTTCTGAGCATCCTTCTATTGGCATGCTTATACCCTTAGATATCTGCGACACATTGATTTTCCCTATTACTACATTTTGGGGAAACATGTATATGAATCACTAAGTTTTAGTCATTCTATGAGCTTGTACTAAACTAATTTAGTTGCATGTGAAAAAAGTGTTTATCCCATTGCAACCAGTCTCTCTTCTAATTCCTTAGTTCATCATGAAGTTGATAACTCCTGTAGTCCTGTAGTTTAATCTAATAGAGAACATCATACCTGCTATAAGAAAATGGAATGTAGAAACTCGTTCTCTTTATCTTTACTTTATGGTCATATGGTTCATAATTGATTACCTACTTCAGAAGAAAATGAAAAAGAATGACTGAGGCTTATCATAATCCGATTTCTATTCATGTGAAACGTACCGACACAGTTTCTAACATTATCTGCTAAAAAGATTTTTCAAACTTCAGAATTGTCACGCAACTACTCAAAGAGAAACACTTAAGTGAGCCCATACACGCGAAATGTGATTGGAAAATTAGATGAATGGCTTTAGCACTTTTTATTATATACATATATATTTTTGTAAAATAATTTGTTTCTGTCAGTCAAACATGCATTTAATTTCCGCATCTAGTGGGGTGGATTGGCAAGGAAAAGGGAAAATGGGTGGAATGGATGAATCCATCTTGGTGACAATAAATTCTGGCACTGAAAGGACGTTCTCTCTCTCCCAGAAATCAAATGAATAGCTTACTGTATATTGTAGGATATCAAGTGACTGTGCAGGACCCTCCGTAGGGTTCTTGGAAAGGATTGGAGATAAGAAAAGAAAATGCCTAAGAGAGAGCCACACCAAACATGTCCTTTTCTCTTCTCTTAGGGATCCAAAAAAAGCTTTATATTTTATTTTCCAGGTAGGACTGTAGGAGTGATGCATAATTAAAGAGCTTCGCGGTACCTGATTTTGCATCTGTACCGTGTATCGTTACAACCTCAGGAATAAGAGAACTAAAATAATTGAACAATATGCACCCATTAATATATACACATATATATCAAATTTAAATTATGCTCCTTGGAGGTAAGGTCATGATTTGGTTAAGGCCTTATTGCTGCCAGGTCTTTTAGTGGATAAGTGTAAGAGAACTCAAATCACAGTGATGAAAAAATTACCTACACGTGTTATCTGAAAGTCATCAAATAAGGAAAATAAATACTTATTTGATCTACATTTAAGAAATGAGTACTGCTTTTATAATTAAAGCTGGTCAATTCTGGCCTATAGTGGTGACAGATGAGCCTTGATCTTTCTCCTTTTTGCTTTTTCTTTTTAAGTTGACCATAGGAGATAAGGTTCACGTAGGATAGGTAAAATCTTGCTCTAGCTTGTAGAACTTCATCAACACGGAAGATACAAACTTTTAATTGCCATAGTTTGTAGAATAAAAAGTTAGGTGAATTTTTCAAACACTAGAAAAGGAGTAGGCGAGGGGGAGAGGGGTTGGCCTCTTGGACAAAGTTTTTACTTTTAAAATATATCGGTTTAAGGTGAATGATCGTCATGGCCAGATTCCATAACAATACAGAGTGCCTGATAAGCAGATTCCATAACAATAGATAGCATCTGATGATTATAGTTTTTAGAGGTATTACCAGCTGTGAGATGTTTTTATACAATCTGAATATTCCAATTGGTTAAACACTGAATGTGTTTGTTGGAAGTTATCATAAATAGTTAGTTAGGCATCAACTAAAATTTTCAGTGGAAGTGACCCTGGAATTTTGGAAATCAGGGTTCATTTAGGAAAACCGAATGTACGAAGGGCATTTTGTAACAGCTAGGTTTTGTGGATGACACACATGGATTATTGTGCATTTGACACCAGCATTCCCTGTAAAGGTGATGGTTGGAATGGCACTCAACTATTATTAAATAATGGATAGTGCGTTTCATCTCAATTTTGAAGTCATGAATTTAATTCTACTTCAAGCATAGGCCTACCTAAATTCTGATAGTGTCACTTGGTGATAAAAATGACTAGTAAATCTTAATTTGTAGAATATAACATTGGTTTGTGTGTCTCCTCACGTCACGCTTCAGGTTAGTCACCTAAAAACTGAATAGGAGCAGCGATGTCATGCACTACACCTGGGCATTCATGGCTCTATCGTGATACACAATATTTAGACAATTCATAAAATTGATAGCCCAATTCATAATGAGCTTAGCTCAGATTTGCACTTTTCTTTCTTTACATTGACTAAATCTTAGTGGTGGTGAATCAACACAAAAGGAAATGACCTCATGAGTCTACTGAGGGAATACGTGGACATCCATTGGCCAAAATAGGGTTACTTGTGTTATAAACGGGGTAGGGGTTAAAGTGGCAAACTCCATGGCGGGGACCATATTTTGGTGCCAATTTGAGGATGCTTATCTGGGTCTAATGCTTTCAGATATAAGCACAGTGTTAGACTTTTATTTATGTATTTATTTTATTTTTTTTGCATATGAGGTGGAGAGGAGAATCACCGTGATTTTATCTGAATATCCTTGAAGTTGTTTATAATTGGAAATATATATATATATATATATATATTTGAAAGGCAAAAAGTTGGACCATCTAGTCCAAATTTTTTAAGTGCTTAATTATGTAATATAATTATTATACCCAACCGGGAGCATCCAGCATTGATTAATAGATTGATTAACTGATGTACAATTATTATAGAGGCAACTTTTCTGCACAAACTCCTAAAGTTCTTGGGTAAGTTAAATTGCGTAAGTTGTTAGAGCATATCCAGTTCTTAATGGGTTTCTTAAGAATTACAAAACTCCCAGTACTGAAGGAGAGCCAAAAGTAACTAGCTAGAGAATACAAGTAATTGAGACCTGTCATGTTGGTGGATCTACGAGGATATAATACAATAGCAGAAAGCATGTCTAAACCCTACAAAGAAAAGTTGTTGTAAGAAAATAATTTTAGAAGTCTTTGACTATAATAGTGATGACCAGAGTGCTAGCAATGGATAGCAATGGAAGAAGGTCCTGAATAAGATAATAATCAATTAATTAAGAGATGAATTCCATCTCATTATTCAACTAAATAAAGTTGGAATCCAAGTCATGGTTCAACAACCAACTTGGTTGATAATCTCATTTCTTTTCATCAACATGACTTCTACCCACAAGGTTCGCTACAAAAACCCTTCTTTCTTCTCTTTGATGATGAGATTCTGGAAAACAGCTTACCTTTTTGTATATTTTAAGGCCACCACCAATCTGGAATATATACCAAAATTTCTTTCCACTTGGCATTCCCATGACATGATAACTAAGTAGCAAGAACATGGTCAATTGTACAAAAAAGTTGCCATGTGCCACACAATGGTTTATCCTTTTTCCTTTGCATCTGCATTCACTATTATTGACTTTAACACAGTGCCATTGTCGGTAAATTCATTAATGTCTTAGTTTAGGATATTGATGTTATAGTCCCACTGTTATCACTATTGATGGATCTTGATCTGGACTGCTTATTGGTGGATACATTGACAAACCAATGGCTTGGATCCTTCTTCTATGCTTTTTAGCTCTTTCTGCCAGCATTTCAATATATTGCAGAGTTTAGTCACAATTTGTGGTCGTTCTGATGCTGTGATCATAAAATTGATCATTGTTTATAATGTCAGTTACCCATTAGTTTATCACATTTTTTGCTCCTATTTTATAAAACTAAAAATGGAAGACTCCTGACTGTGTCATTTGTTGACTCATTCTTTGGATGGTTTTTAACATGTGTCTTAGTGTTGGCCGTCTTAGTTTTGCTTGGAAATCTCTATAAACTTCCTCCGGGTCTGGGTTTTGACATGATCAACAAAATAAATAAACCACAACATAGTTTTGTCTTGGATGCTGCTTTCTGCTAGATGAGTGGTGCAACAATTTCTGTATTACTTGCACAACATTTTCCTCACAATCAATTATATGTTCATCAGATGTGAAAGAATGAAGGAACAAATGTACACCTATATTTATAATTAGAATTATTTAAGCAAATTGAAGTTGAATGATAGGATGATCACATTGATAGTAACCCAGAAAATAAGAAGTATATTTCCCAATAAAACAATGATAATGGGAGTAACTGTTATGTAGTTTAGGAGTTATACTTCATTATGTAATACTATCCAGAATCAGTAGTGAGCAGTAAATAAGAGAAGAAATTGTTGTTTGCTGCAGAAGAGAAATTTGAGGTTCAAGATGACTTCCGAGGAGAAAATAAATTTTAATGTTCATAGAGGATATTGTGTTCCAAGTAAATCAATAAATTGTTTTAGAACATATTGTAGTAATATGATCAATGTTCATGTTACTGTGATCCAACAACCCATACAAGAAATGGAGTCTCCACTCACCCTTGTTCATATGCAAGAAAGGCTCTATAATCTGCCCAAAATCTACGTCAGATGCCATACAATTTCTGCCCAAAATAAAGGATAGTTTGCCACGTAAGACTCTTCACTAATATCTGATTTAAAAATCCATCTCTTGATCGCGGATTAGTGGATGCAAGTAGTCACTTACTAGTATATATAGACATGTGGGTCTTTTTGTTTTTTCATCCTTTAATGTAGAGTTTTCTCTAAATTGGCCTTTTGTTCCTTAATGGATTTTGTATTAAGAGTGATGTCCTTCCTTACTCTAGCTCTCATTTCTTTATTATCTGTAATAACTACAGCAGGTGCCAGACATGGGCAATGGTCTAATGATAAAAAATTGAGCACATGGGGAACTGAGGATCTTGTGACCAACTTGCCTGGCCAGCCCAAGGTAGATTTCCGCCATTATTCTGGGTATGTTACGGTGAATGAAAAGAATGGAAGAGCACTTTTCTACTGGTTCTACGAAGCCTCAACTCTCCCTGATGAGAAACCTTTGGTGCTGTGGCTTAATGGAGGTAAGCATTTTATATGGAGTCATTTTCAGTGAATCTTCTTTGTCCATTGTAGGCCATATAACATTAAACATATTACACATGCATGCTTGATTTTGCAATGAGCTTGGGAAGTGCCATCTAATGCACTTCTGGACGTTGAACCTTCCCCGTTATTGTTCTCTTATTATGGTGGCCTCTAGACAGTATGGGAGATCTTGCTCAGAAGAAGTTTGACTGGGTCTAAGGATTATGATCAGATAAGGTTTTCAAACCTACTAATTTGAAGGAGGAATTTTTTTTTCAATCAACTTAATCATAGTCGGGGCAGTCCAGATTCCAATAACAAATCTTTTTGACCAAATCCTATCGGATAACCTACATATATATATGTATGCAGGCCTTACCCTAAAAGAAGTAGATAAAGAGAGAGAGAGAGATTCCTTCTTAAAATTTTCATGCTGCCATGTCTTTAAACAGTTCCACACAGCACCAACCAAGCTTTTACTAATAAAAGTATAATTATATTTCTTTAAGGAAATATAATGATTATCCTATTTCTTATCACTTAGTGGACATTTATCTTTCTCCACGTTTCCAGCTCAGTCATGTAATTTTATAATAACTCCATGTGGTATTTTGGTTCCCTGTTCTCCAGTAGGTAACAAGAAAGCTATGTGTTTCAGGTCCCGGGTGTTCTTCTGTGGGATATGGAGCAACACAAGAGATTGGACCTTTTATCATAGACACAGATGGACATGCCCTTAAAGTTAATCCTTACGCATGGAATAGAGGTATTACGTCTACCATCCTGCAGACAAGCACGCATATGTATTAATATCTGTACAGATATGACAATTGCTTTATAGGCACATTGATGGACCATGTACAATACCCATTAATGACCATCATATCGTATTTAAAAATTGTTCATCTCTGATGATGCAGAAGCCAACATGTTATTCCTGGAATCTCCAGTTGGAGTTGGCTTTTCATACTCAAATACAACTAGTGATTATGATAACCTTGGAGATGACTTTACAGGTGATTTTTTTTCTTTATATATTTGTATTATAAAATTAAATTAAATTTTATAATACATATACCAATAAGAGAATTATATACTATACTATCAGGTGATTTCTTTATTTTGTTTTTTAGTGGGGGCTTTTCAACCATTCTCATACAGCCAGAGGCTTGTGAATCTAATAATTTGCTTTTTTGGTTCCATGACTATTTTATTAGCAAATGATGCTTATACTTTTCTGCACAAGTGGTTTGTCAAGTTCCCATCATATAGAACACGAATCTTCTATATTGCAGGGGAGAGCTATGCAGGTATATCACCTCAACAACTCTTTGTTGCATCCATTCTAATCACACTCATGTGAATTCATATTTTTACTATGTGATTTAACAGGAAAATATGTTCCGGAATTGGCTGAACTCATCCATGACAAGAACAAGGATCCTTCCCTATATATTGATCTGAGGGGCATATTGGTACAGTTGTTGCTAGATAATTAAACAACCAGATAAACCTTATTATGATGAATGATATAACATTGATACATGTTCTAGTACTCTAGAACATTGTTTTTCATTGGTTATATCATTAGACTGTTGTCTGTATAGTTTTTCAGTGAAGTTATTTTCTTCTACTTTTATCTACGATTCCATAGTAATTGCGAATTTGTGACGCGGGATATCAAATTACAGTTTATTTTATTTTATTTATTTTATATTCAATGTGCAGCTGGGTAATCCTGAAACATGCGATGCTGAGGACTGGAGAGGTATGGTGGATTATGCTTGGAGCCATGCTGTTGTATCAGATGAAACTCACAAAACTATCAGAGAATCATGTGATTTCAACCGCAATGATACATGGAGTAATGAAGATTGTTATCAAGCCGTGGATGAAGTACTCCGACAGTATAAGGAGATTGATATCTATAGCCTCTATACCTCAGTTTGCATCGGCAATTCGACAGCTTCAGACGGGAAATCACCGCAAATGATGTTTAGGAGCACATCTAAGATGGTGAGAAGTAATTCAAATTTCTTCACATGTTAGTCTTGTTTTGGTAAACCCCAAGGGGTTGGCTCAAGTGGGTAAGAACTTGGTCCCGGTGCCTCAGAAAGCATCATGTCTAAGGTTCAAATCCTCTCGGGTGCAAAGAATTTCTCGAGAGGGAAGGGGGGTGGGGGGTGAGTATCAACTAGGGAAAAAAATAGTGTCTTGGTTTTGGTACAGTTGAATCATTATTAGCCAACAAACAAAATAAATAAATAAATAAAAACTAGAAAAGGTACAGTGGCTCTGTTCAGCAGCATGAAAGAAACACATATAAATGGTAGTATTTCCTTGAGATACTATTATCATGTATCATGGAATTACCATATCATTTAATCACAAATAGGCTAAACCCAACAACAGCCTCAAACTTGGTAAGTTAGCTGGGCCTATTGAGCTGAATTTGATTACTTCCAATATATGACTTCCAAGTAAGACTGTAATTTTTGGTTATTTTAAAATGGGGCACCTTCAGGCTATCTACTTCTATCAAAATGATGGTAAATTTATTTTGTTTACCAGATGCCGAGGATCATGGGTGGTTATGACCCATGCCTTGATGGCTATGCAAAAACTTACTACAACAGGCCTGATGTTCAGAAGGCACTCCATGTAAGCGATGGTCACCGCCTAAAGAACTGGATCATCTGCAAGTAATGCAATTTTTCTCTCTTCTTTCTGAGGGTTGTCATGTTTCATTAATTCATTCAATCATGCCCATACTTGTATAGATACTTGTTATATATTTAGAGCTGTCTTAAGTATGAGAAGAAACGTATAAAAGTATATGCTAACCATGATACTTACTAAACTATAATTGATGCAGCATGAATATATTTGATCATTGGTTAGATTCAAAGGAATCTGTTCTTCCAATATACAAGAAGCTTATTGCTGCGGGGCTTAGAATATGGGTCTACAGGTACTTGTTCCCCAACTAACATTAGTTTCTATGGACTGTAGTGAAATACTCTGTTCATTTTTATGACGTTCTATTCTGGGTGGGTCAGTGGAGACACAGACGGAAGGGTTCCTGTTTTGTCCACAAGATACAGCTTAACCTCTCTGGGATTGCCCATCACTAGGGCATGGAGGCCCTGGTACCACCAAAAACAGGTAATCCTTATATTTTCATATGTAATGCTCTAACTTCCTAAATGAGATGAGGAAAGAAGATCAGATTCCATTACTGTTTGGAAGTTCTAATAAATTTTCATTATCCAGGTGAATATTTTTTGGATTTTCTTAAAGACCGAAACACAAAATGTCTGTACATATCTTTATTTTTTTCCTTTCTTATTTGTCTGTACATGTCTTTTGATTGTGTGAGTATGATTAGTAGTTTTTTTTTTTGGTATAAAGCACCATTAAATGATTATTTCTATATTCCGTAGTACAATTTTAATAAAAGCATCCGTATTAGTCTGAAAAAATACATTAGGACCTTTAAGTTGTTTGGAGAAAAATTCTAAATTTGATGGTGAAAGCTGAATAGTCATCAAATTGAGCTAATTCCTAGTACCTTTTGGGTGCTGTTTCTTTTATATCACGCTTTTAATAACATGGCATGGGAACCAAAGTACTACAGTTGGCCAAACAGTATGAAGCAAGAACAACTATCAATACATTTGAGCACCTACAGCTTTCATGTGCGGCAAACCATGAATCTTCTTCTAACTGATGCACTACTTTGTTTGGATCAGGTTGGGGGTTGGCTTCAAGAGTACGAGGGGCTTACATTTGCAACATTTAGAGGAGCTGGCCATGCAGTGCCCATCTTCAAACCGAGCGAGTCACTTGCATTTTTCACATCCTTTCTTCTCGGGGAATCTCCCCCTTTTGAACGATGAAATCAACTCTTAATGAGTTGTTTGAGTACTTCTGCAAAAGATTTTGCTAACGGTTACTAGGTTTGATATAGTTTGCTACATGTAGCAGAAAACAGCTGATATAAAAATATATCAGATATGTGAGTGGTTTCCCCACACTGTATTTGATAAATAAACATCTCCCTTTTAATCTATCTTTATCTATTCGCTCGTTTGGTTCAGGAAGGAGTACACATAATTCTAGTTTAGAATCCCAGTAGTCCATTTTCACCACAACCTATGTTGGGTTTTTGAGTCTCCAGTTATTTTTTTGTCTGCCTTTTCAGTACCTAAAAATAATTCATAGTAGTGGTGGGTCTAAAAAATGTTATTAGTGTTGGATGACATATGAGCATTAACATTTAGTTTCTCACATTGATCAATATGGGGCAACCATTTGACACACAATATATATATTTTTTGGAAGCTGACAAATAACAAAGCTCTCATTTTTGTCGGGGCTTTTATCCTCAACCTTTCACTTTGAAAGGTGAGGAAATGCCACTACTTTCGCCTTTGTTGGTACCATTTTACAGATTGAATCAACTTGTTTGTAGACTTGAAGGTTGCGAGTTCGAAACTTTTGGAAGCATTAAACTCTCCCTAGACCAGAGGCGAGAGCCTTGTGTACCAGGCTAGTTCTTTTTACTTCTCGGTCAGTGGGCCATTTTGATAAAACTACTTGGATCGACTCTATATTTGATATAAATCCTATATTTCTCATGCAACTCGAACAAGTTGGAGGACTAACTCAAGTCCAACCAAAGTTATAAAAGCTTTAAGCCTTTAACCCAAGCCCAACGCGACCCAAGTTCTCTAAACCGAGCCCAACCCATCTTCAAAATTCTGGAAATTTCTTTCTAGAGCATCTATAAAAATAGAAGACATTGTTAGTCTTCTACAGCTACTCCATGGGCCCGAACCTCCTCTCCTTCTCTTCTCCAACCCCGTCTTCTCTGATTAGTCCAACACTGCCCGGGGCTTCTACAGAGTTTACGCTGACGTATCTTACAGAATCTACTCTGACAAGTTGAACTCTGCAAGAAATTAGGCTTACACTTAGGGACTTAGGGGTGGTGAAGGAGGTGCAAGTGAATCGTGGTGGACAATTTGGAGAGAGTGTACAAGTAGGTGACGATGTTTTATAACTTAGGTGCTGTTTGATAACTCAATCAACACTTAAAATTTTAACATTTAATATTTAGCTCTTAAAATTTTCATCAAGTAATTAATCCACTTTTTATTTTTTTATTTTTTAAATAATATCTTATCAAACTTTATCAATCCACTTTTTTGAGTTGAATAGTTTTGATATCACATCATATAGCACATAGTTGAAGGTTTATCTTGGTAATGAAAAATAATATAATTAACTTATTCTTTTATCCGACTGAAAATCGATTGAACTGTGTATAAACACACTCTTTCTTGTCACAAGAAAATCGCTCACTCAAGGTGATCAAGAACCAAGAAATTTTCATTACTCACTTACTCAAACTCTTACACAGTCTGCAAAAAGATCGGCTGAGACGCAATAATAATTGCATAAATGGTATACACAAGGCTATTAAGGGACAAATCCAATGTAATTGCCCCCACTAATTTTTTTTTTTTTTTACTTAATAGCACTAGTTTTTTCTTTTTTCAATTATATATATATACACCCCCGGGCCGTGAAATTACAAAAAAAAAAAAAAAAAAAAAAATTAATAATAATAATTTTGCTCCCCCACCACCCCATCTCCACCCCCCTCACACAATTTTGTGGTTCCGTCCCTCAGACTAAATGTGTTGCCTTGAACTCCGTTGTGGTGGCCGGCCTTTAAAAGCATCAACCTTAGATTGATCCCTACTCTTAAGGTTTTGTTTATCATGTATTTCTTACGCTTCTATTATCATGCACGATTAAAAAAACAAAAAAATCAAAGTACGATGAAATTTGTTTGAAATCCTTGGTTGGACCGTTGGAGGAAAGAAAATAAAAAAGTAGAAAAGGATGAGAGGAAAGAGCCCGACACACGAGAGGAGAGGAAGGTGTTTGAATAAACTCCTAAAGTGAGAGGAGAAAGATCAGTACGAATTTATTTTACTTTTAGTAAATTTCAAAAAAACTGTCTTAATCAATGGTTAATAAAAGAAACTCATTCGTCTTTAAGTATAAGAAGGGTCGTGTAATAACATTACTCTTATTTCTTATTTCAATTTTCCAACATTATATTGTACTACTTGACGTGACAAAGGAAAGTTGACCACATAGTCAACTAGTTATTATTTACGGATTTTTTTTAAAGGTAAATTATACGAACTTTTTGTAAGATTTGAACAAATTATACGTAGATATAACACTTGGTTTTTTTTTTTTCTTCAGTCTTTAAAACTTTGATATTCCCTAAAAGTATGAAATGTCTTTTATACTTTTATCTAATTTAATAAAAAAAAACCTGTTAAACTAAAATACTCTATAACCTTTCTTATTTTTTTTTTTCCATCTTGTAAACATTATATTACCTTACTTTTCTTTTGGGAAAAAAAAAAACCTATCAAATGTTATTAAAAAAAAAAATTTATTTGTAAAATTTAATAATATAAAATATATTTTTTTTCTTTCTTCAAACTAAAAAGGTGCAGACTAAGAGTCGGAACTGAATTGGCCTCTTTGTGTCATGCGGAATAAATTCATTCAAACATTCGCCACATATAAGGGATCGCGTTGTGCCCCATTAATACATGCTGTCTAAAATCAACTATAACACAATACAATTAGACCATGACATGACATGTTCCACGTGCAATGTGCCACCACCAAAATTAATACATCAAGAATTTGATTATAAAGTTAGTTACGTGTATTTTTTTTTGGCTTTGACTTTGGAAAAAATTCTTGGAATGTCAAGAATGCATTATATGAGCCACATACATATTCTTTCGAGTATTTCATTTTGGTGTGTGTAAATTATTTAATATTTATGCAAATCAAAAGCTAATTCATGAGATATATCTATTATTCTAAGTATGGGAGAGTCAAATCCACAGTCGAGAAATTATTTCATATATAATAAAAAAGGCATGCAAGTATATATTTTAATTGTTTTCATGGAGGTAAGTCCATGAGATATCGTTTTTAAATCACACTTCTGACTTGAATGATGCGTGTGTTGTGTGACTGATATACATACTCTAAGGAAAAAAGCACACTCTAACTATTGTACGCCTTAAAAATACATATGCAGCTAATAATATTGATACCAAACTGATTCAAATGTTGCAGAAACTGAGTTTCAGAGGAATGAACACTTTTGGGCAGCCATTTCTTGATTTAGTAGTCTTTGTTACAAAGTGTTGTCTAATGGTAAAAGTTGTACTTCTATGATTTTTGAAGCTCTGATCAAATCGAGCTGAGACGATCAATTTTTCCTTCTTGGGTATGGATTGGATTGTTGGTAGAGTCTTCAGAGGCTTTGAGTTTCGATATTCCAAAGGAGTGTAAATGGCGTTCATTATGTCTTGAAGGAGGTCTATGTTGGAGTCGTATCGATTGCCAGAGTTGGAAAACATCTGAAATACTTTCAGACATGATAAATGAAGATGCTTGCATGATTTGGACAAATCGTTGAAGCCATCCATCAAAATATGTTCAAGAAACTCTTTCTTCTTTTCATCCAATATCTCCTTTACATTAGTGATTGAGCCTTCAATTCCTGCCTCTGGATTTTCTTTCAAGTGGAGCAAAACAATATTCATTTTCCCACCCTCTTGTTCCTTCTGCATTAAAGCACAATATACGAATATATATATATTCATGAAAAGGGGTTTGTTAAGTAATTAATTAATTATACCTGGTAGCTTTGAATGTCATTCAACAAACGAGCCGTGATCATGAGCAATTTCGTGACAGTTTTATACTGTGCAGGCTTGAGTATTTTGTGAGACAAGGTCGGGCTCAAAAAGCATGAAGCCGAAAGAACCAAAGTGTGTGTGGCAATCGATTTCATGCCAATTTCAAGGTATTCATCTTTGGATGGTATATATCCTCTCTTGCTCCATCTAGTTTCTGTCAGCCATGCAACAAATGTTTCGCGCCACTTTCATAGAAGAAACACACAATTTTCCAAAATTATTTCTAAGTTTTAGTTGATAGTTCAAACAATTGTGGAGTAATTAGTTGAATTACACATAAGTAAGAAAAACTTACTATATCTTGTAGATCATTTGTTATGTCACTTCCCTGTAGATGGAGGTGTTTCGCTGCAATGTCCCTCACAAAATGGTCAAGTGCATTAAATATAATCTTACCATGGCCATTTAAGCCGTTACAATCCCATCTGTTTTAAAAAAAACAAAAAAATTGAGATAGGAAGAGTTAGAAAAACGAAGTATTACTTGGTGTAGCCTAAGCGAGGTGTTTTAAGTAGGTAGGTCAATGAATCGAATTTGAATTCAAATCCGGTCCAAGTTTGATCTAATTTTGGATATGAATTTTAATAATTTGTTGATGATTTAAATTCGATAATTTGTTAAATTAACAAAATCGAGTATGGATTAAACTAAAAATTTGAATATCACGAATATTCATTGTCGGATTCGGATACGTTCAAACCATATTCGGTTGGAAATCTAACTGGTTCACAGGTCTACTTCCAAGTAATTCTAGCTAAATAGGATGCAAATAAAATAACATATATACCTTTGAACCGCCTCGGTTAAGCGTTGTAGCTCATTCATAGAGCCTTCCATATCATAAAAATCATCTGCAACTGTAATAAGTATTGCACTCTTGGCGACTAACATTCGAATTGGGGAATTGTGAGGTAGAGAAATGCTGGCTGCAATGGCGAAGAAGCAATACCTAGTTTTCTCCCTTCCAAATCCCATTTCACTAAGACCCCACTCTTTCGACCACCTATATATATATATATATATAAATTAGGCAAAAGAATGATGAAATAGAAAAGCCATTTATAGATGTATATATATAACGGTCATGCTTGTAGTTATATACATTTAGAGAAATATCAAGTATACCTTTTAAGCTCCTCCAATTCATTCCTGTAGACTGATTGCCGAAACTCATAATTCTCCACAGCAAGTCGCATTAGTTTGCCATTTTGAAGACATGATAACCTAACATATATATTTTGCAACATTTCAATATT